TGATTTCTTGAATACATCTTCCAAATCTTTAGGATTCTGAATGCTTGTGCAAGCAATTTGCCATCTAGTAGATGAATCTATAAAGGTCACCGGAATGGCTTAAATAATGTCAGGGGAAGGTCTAAGGGTAAGGTTACTGTTTGAGCTGAGTTTGTGGGGACTTAGGACAGTGGAGAAATAGACTGACATTTATAACTAAGTTGTCCTGAAAGCTCGGCTGCTATATCCCCATCTTTCCTGGTCACATGCATGCTGTTGGATCTTGAGCTCAGGTTGCCCCAGAGTCAGTGACTTCTACTGGTTGATCCAGCAGGAAAACTAGCTTTGTAGAAAAAAGCTTTTCCTCTGTATCAGCTATAATAACATGCAGTGAAAGTTTACCACTGCATAAATTTTGTCCTGATAAAAGATAGTTTTATATGGGTAGCAACTATAATTTTATAATATTCTGCTTCTGCCATCATAGTGCTGTGCAATAAAAGAGCTAAGAGTACTTCTTAATAAACTATACGTGGGTGTGAAAGTTTAAAAAATAGGAAGAGAGAAATATTGATGGAGATGAAAAGGATTAGGGACCTGGAGGAAGAAGAAAGGAACCTTTCTGTACCTTCAGCATAAAATTTTCTGAGGTACAAACAAGTGTAAACAAACTAGTATAAATCACTTGATACCTTTTCCAGGCGTGGAAAATCTGTAATATTTTATGTCCTGTGATAAGCCAGCACCTTGTGGAACTAGAAGTGCGAACATATAAATATTTTTATTGGAATGCATTTATTTATTTACCCAGTTACAGTAATATTTTGTGTTTTACAAATGTGAATGAAAACAAGATTTCTGGATCTAAGAAAAGTGCATTCAAAACTGAACATTATCAGGGGAAAGGGAAATGCAGAAAGCCTCTGTTTTGATATTTTTTTCCCCAGAGTACACAAAAAAATAATTCAGAGATTTATGAAATTGAATATGTGTGGATGCTGAAGCAGCTGTAGTCACAGCACATTGGGTTATGACTAGAGTAGACAGAGGGTGACCATAGCATTTATCTATAAATATTCCACTAAGACAACCTGCTCATTTCATGTGCGACTGTATACTTGCTGTCATGAACTAATGGTTTAGTGATTACTTTTCTTTTCAAAAACTTAAACATTGGCTCTTAGGTAGGAAGATATTTGTGAGCAACTGAATAATTCAGCTTATGTTGTACATTACTCGCATACGTACTTTTCTAGTAAGTAAAATAATCCTTTTTCATGAGAAGAATAATGCAGTAATCTACTTTTATCTGTACTCTCCAGTTGCTCCAATATAATCTCCAAAATCATTGTGTAAAGCCATTATATTATCGAGTGTGATTTATCATTCAAGAATTTGTCATATTCATTTCAGCTTGGTGAGACTGGTATTATATCCCTATTTGTGATAACAAAAAAACAGCATTTGACCATAAAGGCATTTTATTCATCAATAATGAATACAAAGGGCTCATAAAAGTTACAGAAGAGGTTCTTTTGGAATTCACTTTATAAGTTTCTTTTCTTCAGTTTGCTAAGGCTGATTCATTTGTGTGGAGATACTTTCTCTCTCTTAATGGTACTACCTGAAGTTATTAATTAGGTTTTCTAGTTTGGTTTTACACTTCAGATCACTGTTATGTGTCATTGAAACAAGCCCATTGAGATGAGTGATGCGTATTGTAACTTCATTAATGTCATCAATAACGTACTGCACTTCCCTTTTAGGAGTCTCTTTCTGTTTTGTGTGGGTCAGGCTAACTGTATGAATTACGTATATAAGCTCAAAATAGTTAAAGATGAAGGTAGATACTTAAGCAGTTAGGCAAGAGGCTGGAATTAGTGTTGTTTTAAAGTTGTAGGCTACAAAAACAATTTGCATTAAGGAATGTTTAAGTAATTGAATCTCACAGCATAAATGAAAGTGTCTTGGTATTCTTATGCATGTTGTGGTCACACAGAGATATCTTGTGCCAGTGACAGGGTCGGGTGTTATTTTGCAGTCAATGTGTAATTTTGAATGAAAACTCTTTACTGACTTGTAAAGGCATGGAAGTAATAAACTAGAATAGTCTTTTTTTTTCACTTGATAAAGCTTGGACAGAGATAAGAAAATTGTAAAATACCACAAGAAAGATGGCATGGCTTGCAAAGCAGATAAGTAATTGGAAAGTATAAGATCCTGGGAGAATTCATAGCAGAAAATTTGAAAAAACAGATACTGTACAGTGTTTCTTACTTTAGAGTATTTGCATATATCAAAATGAAAAATGGGTTCCGTCATACTACGCAGTCAGGCATGCCTAAACCATATTACTATTGCAGAAGTTAAGATACTCTTTTTAAATTATGATAAAAGACTGCTTGTCTCTTTTATTCATCTAACATCTACATATCCCTCATTAGATGCCGATTTGTACTGTAGTCAGGTGGGATGGGCTAGGAATATTTCTCTTTTACAATGGACCATCTGCCTTTGTAATCACAGCAGTAGAATTAAACTGTCTTAACATCCTTGGATCTTTTTTGCCTGTGTGTGCCGCCTTTGGAGCACATTTGAAGATGGGATAGGAAAAGATGAGTTCCTGTTCACCTCTTAAATTTATTTTCTCAGCGATCCCCAAGTGTTCCAGTCTTCAGGTCATTCTCTCTTTCTAAAGAGTCAGATTCATAGCGGTCTGAATCAGTGTCACTCTGCTGGCAGTTATTGGCATATGACATTTTTGCAAGTTGAAGTTAGCGCCACCGAGTAGAGATATCCTAATACGGATGAGGATGCCAGTGTTGTAGCCTTTGGAGTAGAATCCTTGGCTCATCCGACTTTCCAGGCTACCAGATAGGACTGTCACACATCTCCTGCGAGCAGAAAATAATGTGATTATCTCTAGCATTGCCCCTGCTGCTCAAGGGGAGGTTGTACAGGCCTCTATCTCCCTGTGAGCGGTGAGTACTGTAGAGGAGAGTTCTTTGACAGCCTGATTCTACTCACACTGATCTCAGCAGGAGTCCCTGAATTGATTTCAGAGGGAGCAAAAGCAATCCCTGCTTTGAAACCTTCAGTACCAAAACTAATAACTAATAAGAAAGGCCCTAACTATTAAAAAAGGCCTTACCACAGCCTTTCCTTAAGAATCAACCAACCAAGAACTTTTCTGGTTCTCAGCATACACCGTTTTCATTTATTGTATCACAGAGAACCTTTAGGTGCAAGCAGTAATACAACTTTGGTCACCTCTGAACGTAAGCTGCATCGTATTCTCAAGGAACAGCAGCATTAGCTCTGAACTGAGGAAGGAGGCACGTGTGCCCATGTGGCTGCAGCAGTGCAAGCTGAAGGAGTTATTGCCACATCTACTTGTTACTGTTCACTTGCTGAAGGTTTCTGTCCCCGCTGAGCTGTTTCTGCAAGTGCTTCTAACCAGTTTCAGTCTCCATGAACTGGGTCACCGATGACCTACTGTTTAAACTGTGTAAGCTATCCTTCTCTTGCAGTGTTGTACATGAACTGTTGTGTCCCCTATGTATCCCTATGTATTTAGTTTGATTAGTTACTGCATTGCAGAATACTCAATATGGCTAGATGTATTACTGTCAGGAGATAAAATGCTTAGCGTTTGTATGGCACAGTGCTAATATTTTGTTGCTGTTTCTGGATGTATGCTCAATGTAGGAAGGTTAAAAATATAAAGACAGCAAAATTGTGGTACAAGGATCAAAATCATTTTGTATCTTTGAAAAACATTGCCCTTCGTTCAAAGCATCTTTTCAAACTGAAGAACATGGCTAAGGATTGTAGATGTTCTGTGATATCATTTATTCTGCTACTTCATTACCATTCTCCCTTGTAGGCTGACAATTTAGATTACTCTTACAGTAATCTGCAGAAGATACACTTTTGTGGTCGTCTGTCTTGTAGGTGAATACACTTGGCAATTTTATTACTAATTTGGAGTTGCCACTGGGCCTGCCCTGTCATGCAGTCCAGTTACTAATGGAGTATAGGAGCTGCTGTGATTTCTTGCTGTTTTCCTTCTCTGAAACTACTTCCTCCCCACCACCCAAACCCCTGCCTTGTCCATAAGGATAAAGTCCTACACCAAATCACTTGCAGCTTTCCTGTTTTGATTTTCACTCACTTGTTTACAAACAAAGGAGCCCCTAGGTGGAGATTTATGATGTTTACATGCTCTTCTAATTAGGATAATGATTACACCTGCTTTTAGATAACATTTATAGCCTGCTTCAAAGTCTCATTGAAATCACTGATTAACTTTGAATTCTGAGCCTTCAATACCTCATACAGACATTTCCAAGGAATCTAAGTTTGCATGTATTTTTATACAAGTCATTCAAAAAGTCTTGCAGATATTATTGTAGAAAAACATAAGTGATCTCATAAGGATTTAGTTGTATTTTTCACTTATTTCCTTCCGTCAAGTATGTGACATTGAAGAGAAGTTGCTCTTGTTTGAATGTCACATTGATGAAATAAGGCTCTGCTGAAGGCAATAAGTGTTTTACCATTGACTTCAGTGCAGTTAGGATTTCACCTCTGAAGTGTGAACTAAGTAACAGGAGTAGATAGGAAAAGAATATTTTTTCCTTGCCTAGGTCTAGAATAAAAACCAAACTTTTTTCCAGAAGGAAATAGATAGAATCCAGCTGCGATGTGAAATACTTCTTGAGGGGTTTGATGGGCCTAGGCTCACAATTTTGATAAAATCTTGAATATCCAAGGAGGAATATGAGATTTCTTGGAGAAACTTTGTGAATGTTTCAGTGTAAATACACTCAGATCAATAGGCATACAGTTTAGAAAGCCATAATGAATATGCAGTTGTCTTTCAGTTTGCCACGGGTCAGCTTTACTATACATAATACATATCATTTGTGAAGTGTAGTGGATGCTTGCAGGGATCCTTGATGATTTCTGATGAATTGTTTTGAGTAGAAGATTTACAGTTCTCCATTGTTCTCTTTTAGAAATATTCTTTACAGACTAGATGAAAGGACAAGCCAGTTTTCAGTACTGCTAGAGGCACTGGAGCACTGCAAGCTACATCAGTCAAATGAGACCATTGAAGCAGCCTTATCAGAGGTGCTGAACAGCATCAATTCAGCTCAGGTTTACTTCAAAGCAGGACTTGATGTGTTTGAGACTGCCTTGGCTGGAAAGAAATGAGAGAATTCCCAGCAATCTAGGACGTTTGTTTACAACTTGCAAAACAGAAGTTCGACTCAAACCAGAGGTTCTCTGAGGATGAAACCTTTCTCAACTTTTCTTTCAGTCGGCGCTTAAAGGTACTGCAATGCGTGTTTTTGTAAGTATAAAACAATCTTTTGCACTGTTCGCAGTATATCTCAAATGTCTTCTTTCTGAATGTATAAAACATAATGAGAGGGAATAACACTTAAGATACGATTTTTGGAAGGACGTCTGCTGTATTTTTGTATGTAAAAAATGTTTTTATGACTAAGAGCTCAGTCTTGCAAAGTACAGAGCACATCCTGCAATATGCTGAAGACATACTTCTGAGACACCCAGATTTATAGCCAGCTGAGCTTTCAATGCTTGCTATTGATTCAGACTTCTCAAATAATTTGAAATCTTCACATAAATTTTTTTCTCCAAATTGAAGGATGTAGCATTTCCTTGGGTAGCCAATGCTAGCGTTAATCAGGAAATGCTCAAAACACTCTGGTCAGTCTAATCCAACTTTCTGAAACAATCTTTACTCCTGTGGAATAGTAAGAAATAACTCCATTCTGGGAACACAGATGACCTTTCCTAGAATATAGGATCTGGATTGCAGTCAGGGAGCACAAAGCAAACATAGTTTATTCCCTGCTAGAGAGCCAGCAGTAACTTCTGAAGGTACAAGCTGGTGAAGCATATTGCATGGCTAAAACTCAAACCTGTTGTTTCTTGATGAGTCCATGTACAAGGGCTATAATCACAGCATTACCTTGTTGGCCAGAAGCAATCTGTGAATGAAGGGATCAGAAGGTTCAGTGTCCTGAACCTCTAAGGGGATAATATGCACGCATGAGAATTGCAAGTCTTAATACTACAACAGTTGAAATAGTCAAGCTCTGTTGGGTTTAGAGTTTTACAGTCACAGATGATTTAGGGGGTGGGGAATATCTTCATGATCAACCAATGTGACCGAGGGAACGTAGATATGATTATCTCATATCTTTACTCTTCATCTGATAGGCAAGAGTATATCGTTATTCTCTGGCTAATACAGGTACTGATTCTGCTTGCTGCAGAGGGAATTCAGCTTCTGAAGAGACTTTGTGATTCTATCATGCTTGTGTATCTCCTTGTTTTCCGTAATTTTTATTATTATAATACTTAAGTGGTTGGAATAGTCACATTTGAGCTGTATGGTCTTTGTTTTAGTAGTAGTATTTAGGCATGTACTGTGCACACTATAATTGAATTGTAGTTTCTAATAGGTAAGATTAGCAGCAATTTTTCCTTAGACTGCCGATTCCTTCTGGAGTTAACACCTGTGGTCTTAAATCAGATAGGCCAGGTACCATTAAGGGACCAAAAATAGAGACTAACACCTTCCGATGTCTTTAATCTGCCAGATGAATTTAATAACTGCTTCTTGAGTCTGAATATGTACAGTTCCCCAAACCTTCCTATAATGTAGCCCAAACTGCACTCATGAAAAATTAGTGAAGACTTTGGGGAAGAGTATCCCTTATGTATGATTTCTCCACTAAAACATTTCTCTTGTTTTCTCACTAATGTCCTTCTATAACCACTTCAAAAATAGCAGACTTCAAAGTACTCTACTGCAAAAAGCACTGCTGTGGTAAATGTCTGTCTGTTCTCGAGACAATCATGTATTCTCACTGAGGAGATGAATCAGATAAGCTGTTTAGGAACTTAAATGGATTAGTTTCAATGGCATCTCATACTTTTAGATCTCTAAGCTTTTATTTCAAATGTTCAGATCTTACGTTTCTAAGTGAGTGCTCAGTGATAATATTTGGACCATTATAGCTTTGGAAAAGGCACTTTTGATCTATATCCTGCCATTGATTTTTAAATACTACCTATTGACTTAAAAAAAATTTATAGTAAATTAAGCCCCTAAATACCTGATTTGTTTCTAACCTAGAATTTTGCCCAGCCAGCTGTGGAACATCTAAGGAAACAGTGAAGGAGAGGTGTTAGTAAATCATAATAATTTACCCAGATTAAATTCATTCCTCTATTGTGTTGAAACAAATGCACTACCCTTGAAGGTGGCAGTATGTTTGCAAATTGCCTGAATGATGTTAAAAATCTGTTACCTTTTCATAAGCATCAACTGCCAGAGACAGCATAACAAACGCATTGATTGCTGAGTAGTCTAGAGTCATACTCACAGTGACCAGAAAATGCTTGCAGCTTGCAATATTTGTGTGTTGAGACAGTTGATAATAAAAGGCTAAGAAGATTTTGTTAGTGCATATTTTAGTGAGTCCATAAAGAAGCTAAAGTATAATCAACTCAGATGAATAATAAGGACATGAGAGCTGGATTTTGAGTACCAACCTTAAAATAGGCAGTGAATTGCTTTTATCATCCGAGAAAAACAAGCCCGTTTTGATATACAGTATCTGTGTAAATACACAAATGCAGAAATATACAAATGCCTTTTATCTTCAAAGCACTGTACAGCTACTAATTTATTTGCAGTGATATGCTACATATACATAAACATAGATGTAAAACATAAATACATGAGAAGATTAGCATGCACTTTGCTCTGCTTTACTTACCTTTTAGAAAGTATTTCAGTCTAGAGGTGTAAAAGAAGGCACTTCAGCTGACCTCAACTGCTGCAGCAGTTGGTGGGGAAAGGTTAAATCTCTCAGGTAGCTACTTTCTTCCTTAGATACAGTTTCTCCACATCTCTTTCTTTACTTCTTAGTTGTTAAATTATTTTGATTGGTATAATTGTATACCTCCAAAGGGTACCTATCATTTCATTCAGTGAAAGCTCAGCAAAGGTCTCTAGCATTCCACAGTTAATATAATGGAAAGTTTGAGTAAGATGATTAATTTTTCAGGCCATTTATTTCTAGTATTTATTTTTAAGTTGCAGAGACACGTATCTTTATCTTTAGAGGGACCTTTTTGCACAGTCCTTGGTTCCAAATCAGAAGACTTCTATATAAATTAAGGGAGTGACTTAGAACCAAAGATGCATTAGAAAATGCAGGGAGCAAAAAGCAATACCCACCACAGTTGGGTAGTTATATGCCATGAATGTATGTATTTTAACCAGACTTCAGGAGCTCCATGCAATTCTATGGCCTGTGATGTGCAGAAAGTCAGGGAAGGTAATTATTTGGGTCCTCACTAGGTTTAAAAGCTATTAAATGTTGTAAACATAGTTGTGTCTGGGCCTGTGTTCTCAAGGAAGCAGTTAAGACATTCCTCAAAAGCTGGTTTCTGTGTTAACTGGAAACGGGGACCCTGGAGTAGATTATGATTAGTATCTCAGGAATCAAGCATGGAGTGGAAGATGTTTTTTCCCTTTAACTCTCTGTAGGATTTTACCAGTCCCAGCAAGCTGAGCAGTAGAAAAAACATCTCATTTTAAAATGCCTAGGATCTGAATTTTTAAGAGTAGTTAGTCTTATATAGCAGTCTACACATTCAAAGCATAGTTAATTGTCTTCTGTTGGAGCTCTGAGTCTACAAAACTTATGGAACACAGACTCTAGTATTGTAGACTCTAGAAATGTAGAGTACACAATTATTGACTGTCTTTAAAGTTAAGTACATGGTAAAAATGACTTGCCTACCATGTCAGGATAGGATTTCATCCTCCTGCATAGTTTTTGGTGGCTTTAGCCATCAGACTGTCTTTTCTCCCTCTGCCACCATCTTCCCCAAAACCCTTGCGTTCAGCTTCTCTTGCATTCTCATGCCACGTGATGACTTTTCCCACTTCTCACCACCTTCTTCCCAGTCATCCCCACTTCTCTTCTGTCTCCATTCTTGTTCTTCATCACATGTTACTCTCCCCATTAACTTACCAACTATTGAATTAATCCCACTCTTTTCTCCCTCTGATCTCAAGTCACCCCTTTTGTTCCCCATTCGGTTCCGGTTTCCTTAGCCAATCATTTCAGTTAGTTACCTCAGTTCGCCCATTTTCTGTATTCTTTCCTGCAGCTGTGAGATCTTTGTCCTAACATACTTCATCTCTCCGCATCTAGATCTTGCCCTGTTGTGTGTGAATCAGTTCGACTTCTTTGCCCATTCTACTTGGGCATGGTGGAAAGTTACAAAGAGCAGCTCACCTTCCTTAAGTTTAGATTCCCATTCCTGGTACAGCTTACCATGATAAAGAGCTGAAAGTGATGGAAAAGTTCTGCTCAGATCCAGATGGATTTAACATGAGGAGACATCATCAGCTGAATTCTCAGTATGCGCGAGTTCTGATTATATGCAAACTGAATATGTTGCAAACATGCAATGCGTGATGGCTACATATGATGGTTGTGTATGTAAATAGGTGAGAATAAGAAAAAGATTAGAGCAGAAGCAAAACTTGGCTAGTGTATTACAGTGTTTTAAGTGCTGAATAATGATAAGGACTCAAGCCATATACACAAACATGTACTTACTTGTACATGTACACTTGAACCTAGGACGTGCCTAAGAATAATGAAGACTCACTTGAGGAGGAGATAGGTAGCAAAAGATTTGATGCTATCTGAATTGGACTGTGTATTTTCTAAAACTATGGTGCTATTAAGCTTAAAATTATTTTTTCCTGATTTTGATCCGATTCCCTCTACCTATTTCTACTATTGCTTGCACACACTGATTATAGTTGGAAAATACATAAGCCTGCATATTTAGATTCACTGAAAGCTTATGTTCCCCCACAGTCATACTGGTTTGGACTGTTTCTTTCAGCAGTGTTGGCTTTACTATGGCTATTCATAAAGGTACTATTCTACGTCAATAAGGTTAGCAGAATTTGGCCGTATTTATGGAATTTCTCAAAAGATTTGTTATCAGAATGTTGATTATTTATGTTTAGATTATTCTTTTTAATCTCTCAACATAGATTAGTACAAGCAAGAGAGTATCTTTCAAAAAGCGTGCAGGAATCTCTTGTTCAATGTTATGTAAACCCGCAGGGCAGAATATAAATGTGTATGTGCAAGTGACGCATTGTAATCTAGTATTAATTTAAGAGTTGTTATAAATGTTGGCATGGATTAATGCACACATTCTCCTATGAACTGCACAAATTGGAATTAATGCAAGGGCTTAATTTAAGAAATGTAATCAGTATAGGTGTGGAACAGTTTTTTTTTTTTTTGCTCTGTAAATGCAGTATATTCTTACTCATCTGCCTAATCCGTTTGGTTAAAAAGATTAGGGTTTTGTTTAAGCTACTTTTCTTTGATTTATTTTCCACCAAGCCTCAGAAAATGAAGTCTTACTCTTTATTTTTCTTTTAAATGCTTGCTGCCTTTGATGTTTTTGGAAAGCTTATCATATGCTAAGACAGCGTAAGGTCCTTTAGTCTGATCATTCCTGTATTGTTTGGTATAATTTGAAGTGGTGTTTCAAAGCCTTCTCTTTGGAAGAAGGTCGTTTACTGACCTGTTAATGCATATGATATAATATGCTTGGGTATTGCCTTTACCATGTAGTGGTATAGGTATGCTATACGATGTTCTGGCACACTAAAGTTCAAGAACAAATAGGTTTTTATGGCAGTATGCCAGAGATGTGCTAAATTTTCCCCATTTGCAACTATGCTAGTCTGCACACACTGACAATACAGCATTGTAAAACTGATTTTCCTTAGCACCCACTACAGTTTTTATTACAGGTGGCGGATTAGGGGGTTAGCTGAGCTATCCAATGTTTTTAAATGGTGTCCCTTGTAGCCCCATTCAATTTGTACATAGCACGATCCTCATGGTGCTCTGCATGACACTGAAGTGGGTTAGATAGGACCGATTTACGTGTTAATTTTCTACAAAAACTGCTGTCACCTGCTACCCTTAAAAAGTTAAATAAAATATTTTTTTAAGTACTTCCCAGATTTTCAGTGTGGTTAGTCTGTATACTGAGGATTCAGAAAAGGTACACTAGAACGCTGTTTTTTCTCATGTAGCCTCGTTTCCTGTTTGCAACAGCTGAAACATCTTGCAGTCTGTGAATACACTAGAGGGGAAATAAGGAAATGCTTACTATTTCATACTTAAAGTAGATAAGATGAATGCAAAATCACTTTGTTTTCTATGTGCAGTTTATGCAAGTTAATAGGTAAAATGCAATTGTATTATGTATTCTGATTTGATATTCTGAGACAAATGGAAAATGAATGTAATTCAGTATCTAGAAGAATTATAATGAGTTCAGGGAACACTTCACGTTCAAGCATCTGAAAGAGTTGTATACACTGAGGAAAAACCAGGAGTGAAGATATTTGGAGCAGATATTTTGGGGGGTTTAATACAGGTCTGGAAAACAATATTCTTCTGCCTAAAACCAGGTTTTAAATTGCCTTTATTATCTAGCTGCATGGCACTACCTTTGAGGAATAATCTAAATGCTGTTATCAGTGATCGTGTTAGTCTCAATATGAACTATGTTTTTTATGTCGCATAACAACTTACAGAGTTTACCTAATCAGATAGAAAGTGCATGTGTTTCTGTCTTTTGTATGCAGAAGGACAGCTGTCGAGTTATGTTATTTTTGTGCAGCTTTGACACAGAATGTGTGAGCGTGAATGATGACTCCTTCATTCCATCTACTTCTAAATTTTCAAGTGGTAAAATTGAGTTACCACAATTGATAGCCAGTCAGTTCAGAAAAGAAGATTTTTTTGACCATGTGGTAATATAAACTTGATGTAGTGATGCCTGGAAACCAATAAATATCATATTATGTGGAAATGTGCAATGAAAGGTTGATTTTTATAATACATTAAAGAATGTTGAGTCTGAATAAAATAGCTTATTTGCAAAATTAGTTTACTTTGTATGAATATGTACTTTTATAACATAGTATAATAAAAAGGTAACATTGTTAATGTAAGTAGATCTCATACATTGGTTAAGAAACACATTTTACTTGTTTGTGCTATGAATATAATTTTGCAGTATGTATCAGTGTTTATGCAGAAGGCACTGTGGACTGGAACGCAGTAATAGACGTTTTGTGAAAGTGGCTGTAATTATGAATTAGACTTTGTTTTTCTGTAGTTACATTTTTGCTAGAAATCGAACTGGAATATGAAGATATGTGTATAATATACATTGCACTGAATGATTTGGAATTATATTCATTTGCTTTTTTGTTGGTTTTGCTTTCTTTTTTGACTAGTTCTGCCAGTGAGCTGTAATATATGCCTCTCAAGCTGCTGATTCAGTAACATGGATCCCAGACTGTTAAAACATAATAGAAATAGGGAAGAAGGAAAAAAGCAAGCAAATAAAATACAGATAGTCAGAACCTGGGATCTGAGAATTTACTGACAGATAAAATTTGAATTATCTACTCTTTTCAGGTGCTGGTGTACAGAAGGACCAGATAATTGGTCTTTCAGGTAGGAAGAAATTGTGCTTGTGTGTTTTTCAAAAGGA